CGAGGTTCGTACCTGCTCCATTTTACCGTCAGAGCCCCCCCACTATGTTCGCACCTCCTCCATTTTACTATCAGAGACCTCCCCCTCCCCCCCCCACGATGTTCGCACCTCCTCCATTTTACTATCATAGGCCCCGTAATGCCGATGGGCGATTTGCTGTACGAGTAAAATGGCGCCTGGGACCCCGGCCTCCCTCTACAGGACATACTGCCCCTCCTTATTCTCCTTCATTCTCGCACTCCTTCCTCCTCACACTCATCCCTTCCTCCTGCCTGAACTAACCCCCCTTTGGCTGAACCAGGCTTACCAATCTGCCAACAAGTGGCTGCCCTTCACAACACAGGTGTCCTACTCCGTCAAAGCTTCTTCAGCAAAATGACTGCTTGAGTGAAAGGGAAAGACAGTCTCATTGGACTTCTGGTTGGCTGAATGGTCTGCGCATGTGCGTTTGATATTGCGCATGGACACTGGTGCGCATGTGCGTTTGATATTGCGCATGCGCAAGACGCACAGACGGCGCTTTGTGTGCGTGGCACCCAGCCCCAGCAATAGCTAGCTGAAAAGCTTTGCTGGTTTTCCCTTCAAAACCATCCCACGAACTGCTGAGCTGTTAGGAGAGCTGAGACTTCTTGCTTTTCGGTTTATTAAGTTTATAGTAGGGTTGCCTTTGCAGAAGACCAGAGGTCAGTTCCCAGAAAAAAGGAGATGTTTTTTGTTGTTGTTCTTTTGTTTGTATTTGTTTTTTTTCCCCTGGTGTCATGTATCTGTACAGACAGAGACACATACATACACATATATAAAAATAAAATATTTTATAGTATTTTGAAGTACAAGAAAATTAATCAAATATGAAAAATAAGCACCCCTCTCGTGAACCAGCACTTTGCTAGTATTCACTGAAACACTTATATACTAACACATCCCTGGATCTTCCACACTGCATCTGTTTCACCCATGCCTGTCTGTTAGTCCTCATTGAGAAAAAGCCTTCTCAAGAAGCCTATCCTCCAGAAAAAGTCTCCTCTAGATTTTTCGTTAGCATCAATGGTCAGCTCTGTCCTCCCACATAACTACATGGAGACTTCTTACTAATTATGAAAGCTCATCCAATAATTGCTTAGGCTTGTTTTTTTTTTTAACTTAAATGAACCCATTTCTACTTGTTAATAGTGCTGTCCCGAGATTCATTTACCCCTTTTATGTACTTTCTCAGCTGCTTCTTCCACATCTGTCTGGTGACGCTTGAGACTCCACCCTCTTCTTCCCTAGGAGTACTTCTACTCTGCCTCTCCCACCTAATCTCTTCCTGCCCCGCTATAGGCCAGTCATCTTTATTATTAACCATAAAAGTAATACATATTTGCACTGTACAAAGATGGTTCCACAGCATTTCCCGCCTTTTTGCCTAATTAAAAAGGAAGGTTTTGCCAGACTGTGATGATGCAGGTCTTTAATCTCAGCACTCAGGAGGCAGAGATAAATGGATCTATGTGAGTGCCAGGACATGCTCCAAAGCTACACAAAGAAACCCCATCTTGAAAAAAAATGTGACTGAACTATCTTTATAATTCCCTGCTTCATAGACAAGTCTTCTGTATATTATAAGCCTGTGGGTTGAAGATGGATGCCCCAACAGTACAGAAAAACTTTAGGTGACTGTCCAGGAAGCATGATGTCTCTGTCAATTCTAGAATTTTGGAAGTTGCAGGGAATTTTACCTGGTAAGCCACTGCCACATAGTGATGCACAGATTAATAGAAATGGGTTAAACTAAGATGTAAGAAGTAATCAATAAGAAACTAGAGCTAATGGGCCAAGTAGTGATTTAATTAATACAATTTCTGTGTGTTTATTTCGGGGCTAAGCTAGCCAGGCAGCCAGGATAAACAAGCAGCCCCTCTCTGCAACACATGCCAATACACAGATTAATAGAAATTGGTTAATTTAAGATGTAAGAGTTAGTTAATAAGAAGCCTGAGCTAATGTGTGCCAACTACATCCACATAAAACCTGAGAGAGTTTGAACAGAAATTCTAGATACAAGAGAACAGATTTAAGCATGATTTCTTAGTAGCTGTATTTTCTCTAGATTTGCTCTGTTTGCTAAAAGCAAGCAGAGGCATGATTCCTTTAAGAGAAGGCTTCCCAACTCAGCAGAAACAACAAAACCTACATGACTTCTTTAAGAGAGGGCTTCCTGGTTTGTGCTGACAGCATGAACTCTGGCTCTTTCAGGAGGCTCTGCACTTAAATGGGGTTTGTGAGCTGTGTGCTACTAGTTGCTCAATGACAACATAGACCCACTATATCACTGGAGCTGGGACATAAGGCTGGTGGTGAATATACCTCTGCCATATTGGACTAGGAAAAACTGAAAGGCAAGACATACTTAGTCCTAACCAAACCCACTTAGTTTGTTGTCTTTTTTTTGTTGTTGTTTTAAAAAAGGCATTCCTGGTCAGAAAATGATTACTAATAGGCAATAAAGACAGATTAAGAACGTTTGATACATTCCACGAGAAAAAAAAAAGAAAAAAAAAAGATTTCTTAATGGGTCACAGTGTTGTATAAATGTATGTAGGCTTGGGAGAGAGGAAAAAAGAGTACAAATAGTTATAAAAAATAGTTTTAAAAAAATAAAACAAAGCCTTTGAAGAAAAAAAAGTATATACACTTATAAGCCCATATTTCTGGCTATCTCATTCTTTTTAGTCCTGCTTGTCCTGTTTGGACAGTATGTTTTCAGCAATTTAGGCAAGGGTAGGTATTTGCCCAAATAGATAGCTTTTGCCATAAAGAAAGCAAACTCCGTACAGGGTTTCTTTAACAGCCATTATCTTCTCTGAAGTAAATTGGTACTGTCAAGAGCAGAAATGTCTCACTGTCATGAATAGTCTTAGGTTATAAAACATTTCAAATACCATATTACATAGGTCTTTGAAGTGTTTGAAGACCATCTCAGCATATTTGTGCATGACCTTGAATATATATATATATATATATATATATATATATAATATGACTACAACTTAACCTGTATTTCTTAGTTATACACTGTATTTTTTTAATTTTTATTTTTACTTAAAATTTTCCACCTCCTCACCTCCTCCCATTTCCCTTCCCTTCCACCTATCCCTCTCCCTCTCCCTCTCCAGTTCAAAGAGCAGTCAGGGTCCCCTGCCCTGTGGAAAGTCCAAGGTCCTCCCCCCTCCATCCAGGTCTAGGAAGGTGAGCATCCAAACTGCCTAGGCTCCCACAAAGCCAGTACATGCAGTAGGATCAAACCCAGTGCCACTGTTTTTAATGTGCTGCATAAACACAATACCCCAAATAAGAGTAGAGACATACATACAGTACAACTAAATGAACTTTAAATTTATATCAGTAAACCAAATTCCATACCAATGTAAAATATTTTGAGATTAAAAGTTTTTTAGATTAAAGTAGGTTTAATAATCTATTCTCTTATCTCATCATTTCTATATCATATCCCATTTTTTCCTTTAGAAAGAGATTTTTTAATTTAATTTAGTTGTTTACCTTTTTCTGGCTATGACTAATAACTTATAAACAACCCCCAATAATTGATGAAAAACTATCCGTAACCAATATTTTGGGAATGTGGTTGCTGTTTTTCCTAGACGGCTTCCTGTTGCTTGTGGGTGTTGGCATCTTTAAGAAATCCTGAGGAAATTTAGGATAAAGGTTAAGGCTTGACTGGAATAGTTTATGAGATTGGACTATCTCAGCTAGCAGTCTAGAAGCTGTTCTGAATGCAGAACTCTGAGGAAACTGCAACAGAGGCACTCTGAGAGACTGGATCACCTGGAACATTTATTTTCTTTGGTGCCTGGTCCCCTTGCTCTGAAAATACATAACCTTTTAAAGGTAACATACATATCTGCATTAATATAAGTCAAAGATAATTTTTTGTTATGTGTTTGAGAAGGTTAAATATGTTACGTGTTTTGTAGATTTTTAAGATTTATTTATGTCTGTAACCAGGGTTTTCAGGGTATCTTTCCTAATCAAACATGACCCACAGCAATGTGGAATGAATCCACAATCTCCCATTTTTTCCTTTGGAAATAAAAGCATAATCTCTCCCCGCAAAGCAACATACCTTTGATTTCCATTTTGAAGTCAAATTACTTTTAAAATATATGGTTGGTTTAATCTAGCAGCTTTCATAATCCAATGCTTCAGCAGCTATCCCTCCTTTATCAGCAGTCAAAAAATTCAAAGACAATGCACTAACATACAAGATTAAGGTTTTCTGTATATTTCCCATCCTTATTTGGCTTATTCTTTTTTATCTATTCCTTTTTAAGGGTTTTATATTATTATTTTTAAACTATTTTTTAATCTCTGACTGTAACCCATTTAGAGATTTTTTTTTTCACCTGGATCTGTCTTTACAGAGAGCTGGTGACCTTGTCAATTGGCAATTGAAGTTCAAGGTGTCAGCCTACCAGGAGATAACTCCCTGATGAATAAATCTTGGATAGCCAAAGCCCTGAGATGCGTTTTGCTTCTGCTGTTCCTTTACATAATTACTGCTGCTACCTTTCTTTGCAACCGCCATGGTGTGAATGGGTGTGGGGAGATCCCCACTGCCTGTAATGCAGTGTTTTTGTCCCATGGAAGCATCCCATTCTACTGGCATTTTTACTTTGTGTATTGTTTTGAAGATGATTTTTTCCTAAGCTGTACTGTCTAAATGAAAATAATCATACTGTTATTTTATGCAGATTTTTGATGAACAAAAATAAATATAAGGAAGTGTCACACTAGAACACAAGAGTCTCTATTGAGAAGTTGTATAAACTGTGGCTTAGGTTAATGGTTAAAAAAAATGAGTTCCAGTATCCCAGCTAGTTTAAGTTCTTTTAACCTTAATGTTGGGAGACGTAGTAACAGGTTTCAGAGTGCATAACAGTTGAAACAAAGCTTTGAAAATAACTTAGACTAAGTTTTTTTTTTAAAGTTTTTAAGGTTTTTTTTTTTGTCAAATAGCTTTG